ACACAGTCAGCAGAAACTATAGTTCAAATTTCAGATTTTGATCTTTTCCCTTGTTAGTGATTTGTGATATGATATTCTCTTGGGATGATGGGCAGCACTAGTGAGACACAGTTCATTCTATGGTCACAGTCACAATAGAAAACAGCCAATACCTTACACTATACTGAGTTGCTAAGATATGACATTCAGTAGGTTAGGTGTATTAAATGCATTGCCAAATTAAGATACTTCAACTTACAGTGGATTTATTGGGATATAACACCATCATAAGTTAAGGAGCCCCTTTATATTCAGAGCTAAGTCACATCTCCTGGAAATTAAAATCTCATTAGTAATTTAGTTCAGGATCAACCCCTCTTGCTCCTCTTCTCTTATAATATTGCTAACCTTTTATTTGTACTAGTTTTCTGAACACAGGTTGTGACCTTAAAATCAACCCAAAAAATTTAATTTTGTTTGTTTTTCCCATTCTGGAATGTGAGTCAAATTCTAGCCTGCAATCAATCTTTGAAATTCTGATACTGCCATCACATTCTACACACTTTCCCCTAAGCCTCAGGTCATCCATAGCCGTAGCACACTGTGCATATTCTAACCTGGTACATTTTAATCATGCATTAAGACTGGGTTCCTTGGAGCACCAGAAATAAAATGGAGACATAAAAACAAATCCTTTGAATTATGATTATAAAGTAATATATTCAGTTTTGGCAACGTAATTAGAATACCTGTACAAAATCTCAAGACTGGTACTTTTGGATTCAATTTAAGAAGTAAAATCAGACTATTGTTTTTGAGCTTGTAGCCATCAAGACTGTGGCACTGTGGGGTTGGGAAAGCATAGCTAATGCAGGATTTAAGAGAAGACCTTATAAGAGAGTCTCAATTAAAAAGATGAAAGTGGAAAGGTGAAGTAAGACAGGAATCAGAGATGAAGACTGAGCAGGATGATCAAAGAATGAACCAGAGAGAATATGTGAGCCGTCTCAAATTCCTGTGATATAAACATCCAGGGAACCTAATCCATCAAACCTAATTAAGAAAAAAAGCAAAGTGTTTTCATGCAGCTAGCTGTTTATATCCTACATGTTCTAATAAATATCTGAAATACATAGATGTAGTCTTGTCTGGATATGACCTCACCAAAGCATGAGCCATAAATAGGTGGGAAATCCTTTCGGCCCCGAAAGTCCCAGCTGTGTCAGATATAGGAGGGTGTCAGGGTCAGTGGGTACAAATGTACCTACCTACAGTCATACAATTGAGTGGTTCCTTACACATGTAATTTTATTCTACATGTGGAATAAATTTTAATAATACTTTATAAATCTAGAAATTATTTGAATATGCAATCAATATAAAAATGACATAATTGACATTTTTTTCATACTATCTTAAAACCCAAGTGTGTTTATACTTAAAGCATACCAATTTGGACAAGCCAAATTTCAAGTATTCAGTAGCTACATGGCTTATAACTACAATATGAGACAGTGCAGACCGAACTATCACTAGAATGTATCTACTGTGGCTGTCAGCTTGTTAGGAGGAAGCAATAACAATGACATTTGCTAATCATATTGCAATCTAAGGAATATTTTTATCCTCTAGAATTCAAAAACATAACCTGTGAGATTGGTATGACAATATTTTCTCTACCTTGTCAGGGTACAGAACTAAATAATTTAAGTTCTTTATGACTTACTTAAGAACACACTCTCAGTGATAAACCCAAAACAAAGTGTTTTTCTATCCACAACTTATCCTCTGTAGAATAAATGAATTGACAAAGATTAGCTAGCAAGTAAGCTGCAGAATATAAGTTAAAACCTGGGCCACCTTACTCCAAATTCAGTGCTCTTACTTTAACAACACTGCAGAGGCCCTCACGCTAACAGGTAAGGTCTCTTGAGCCTCCTTTTCCCTGCAATTGTTCTGAAAGTTAAAATTAATTGCCTTACTAAACCTAGAGTTGTTCTTAGTTGAAATATTGATGGAGATCCATTCAAAAGAGTGATTCAATTCTTCATCCCTCTCTTCTCTATATGACATACTCATCATAGTAGCATTGTAATGGAATCCTATGAGTGTATGTGTTTGTGTGTGTATGTGTGTGTGTGTGTGCGCGCGCGTTTGCAGGACACAAAAAATTAGCTTCCACAGCTTGTGGGAAAAAAATTAAAGACAAAACACTAAAAGTATCCTTTTGAATAGTAAAATGCATACCAATAAGCATAATGTGATGCCATTATTGTAAAACAATTAATGCCATAATGTACTTCCATTAGTGTATATTTTGGTAAATGTATATATGTTTTATTAACTATGACATCATGCAGAAGAAAATAGCAGATATTTAGTTTGGGTTTGGAAGAATTGTGTGGTAGTATGTGAAAGACAAATAGTGAAGGAAAAAGTAAATGAAAAATAAGAAATGAGGAAGGCCCAAAACTATGTGCATAATATGATCTCATTTTTATCAAGTAGTATGCTTGTGTATGTGAGTACGCACATATTTTAACATGTGTGTATAGATATGTAAATATATATATATATATATACACACACACACATGCGCACAACACACACATACACACACACACACACATACACACACACACACACATTCATACATACAAATGATGTCTCTTAAATGATCCCTTTAGAGTCACATAATCAGAACAGTCAAGGGAGTTCATAACCCACTTGAATCTAATGTATGAAATATGATATGTCAAGAGCTTTGTAATGTTTTGAACAACCAATAAAATAAATAAATAAATAAATAAATGGTTCACAAGAGAAAAAAAAGAACAGTCAAAAGCTGAGAGATAGGTATCATAATGGTTGATTAGCTTTTTAAAATATAAAGCACTGAAATATGACAATTTGTTGGGATTTCAGGAATATAAATCTGTAATGTGTTCCATAGAGTTCAATCTTTTCTCTGAAAGTCAGATTCCACTGAAATGTCAGGCAAAAATATTAATTGATCTCTTCCCATGTGCTAGTACTGGGGCTAGGAACATGACAGATTATAAGACAAAGTCCCTGCCCTCATAGATTTTACACTTTAACATGAGGAAATACAAGGGAAACATTAAAATAATCACTATGAAAAGTTTGGAAGTTTCTAAGTACACTGAGTAAAACCCAGTGACAAATTGGTCTAGTTTTACAGCACTAGAAATGGTGAGATACAGTTAGATTTGGAATAAAATTCGGAAACAAGGGCTGGGAAGAAAGTTCAGTGGTAAAGCACCTGCCTATCATGCAGGAGGCTCTGGGTCCATCCACAGCATCATCCACAAAAATAAAAATAACAACAACAATTTTATTAGTCTAGGGGTGCAACTCAGTGGTAGAGCATTTGCCTAATATGTGTGAAGCCCTGAATCTAATCCCCAGCCTCACACAAACAAAAAGAAAATTGGGAATGCGGGGGTGGGGGGAAGAAAAGCAGCTAGACTGCATTTGATGTGAGCAATGAGGGAAAGAGAGGCTTGAAGAGTAATTTCTACATTTTAGACTTGAACAAAGACTGAGTGAATTATGGTATAATTTGCTGATATGTAGAAGGACTGAGAGAAGATAAGAATGGTTTGTTTTGTGCTTTGGTTTGGTTTGAGAAAATTAAAAGAAACCATGTTATGTTAGTGACACCCAAGTGAAAACCTTGATCAAGCAATCAGATGTGATTCTGTGCTCAGGACAGAGTTTATGGGCATAGATAAAAATTTGTGAACCATCCACACAGACATGGTATTTAAAACCATGGAACTAAACAGAATGTCCTAAGAAAAATATAACTAGATTAGAGGACTGAAAAAATTAAACTCTGGGACACTTCAACACTCAGAGTTTCTTGCTGTATAATGACTGATTTCAGGTTTTTGGAAGTACTGTGACTTTTCTTGCTGTACTACTAATTTATTGTATGACCTTGCCCAAGTGCTTGTCCCCTTGAAACCTCAGTGTCATTGGTTAAATTAAGGGGATTTGGAATTATTGAATTATTTAATAGGCTCTTCAGCCCATCTGGAGCTGGCAAACATAAGAGCAATTTGGGAAAGTAAATTGATCCAAATACAAGCCCAGAGTGGTAACGAAGGAAAGGCAGAATATGCCACTAAACATGCAGACAAGTGGTAGAAAAATAACATATTTCTTTTTGATTGCATTTATTTTCTCTATGAAATATAAGACCAAGACATCAACTGAGAGTAAGAGGAAATAAGCAATGTTTGCAATTGGAGAAGGAAGAAATGGCATGATATAGTCATGTGAGGAAGTAGCAGTAAGTTTACTAGAACACTGCAATGGGATTTTGAGATCTGGGGTCAATGAAGCAAGTTTAGTCAGCGTCAGAGTGTGATTGCTAACCAGAAAAGCTCAGCATCTCTGTTATAGAGGTAGGGTGTGCAAATAGTTAGGCTTAACTTGACTCAAGTTTGGTCAGGTGAAGGAGGGGATCAAGAGATTTAAGGATGCTAGCACAGTGACAAAACACTGAATCTAAATTGGATAGAAAGGACAGTGCGGACATTAGGAGGGTATGAACAGCAAAAATGTGCTTGAGTCAGTAAATGCGCAATTTTTAAGAGATGGTGTTACCAAAGTGATAGTACCAGAATTAGGAGTTAGCAGGCTGGAAGGCAAAGTCCAGGAGGATAATGAGACGTTGGAGATGGGGCAGTTATTAGTAATACCACACTGCATACATGAGTGAAGAAGGCAGGGGATGATGGTGACAAGAAAGAGATTACTAGAACTAAGAAATTTAGCCTCTGAGTTTATCATGGCAACAAGTGGAAGAGAGAACAGAAATGAACCACTCTGATGGTCTTTTGGGAGTAAGAAGCAGCAACTGGGAAGGGAACATGGTACCATGAGGTGATAATGGTGAAATCTGAGGTTGTGAACTGTAAGAGACAGAGGTCTTAAGAAGAGAAGACAAGGAACGTTTGGAGGTGGCAAAGAAAGAAAGGTCATCTACTCACCACCTGACCCAGAGGTTCTCATGAAGGATCAAAGAAAACACAGCTGTCTCTGCAGGGACTGCAGAGAAGATGGTGTCAATAAAAGCTGGTGTCATCTGAACAAGAATGAGATGGGAACAAGTAGACAGTAGGCAGAGGACGTGAGCAGTTGCTTTCCACAGTCTGTGGGTTCTCAAGAACAGAATGGAAGAGTTCACTTGGACATGGAGAGGCAGGAAATAGGATTAGATCAGGGTATCCTGAGGAATAAGAGAACTGTCTTCGAAACAACAGATAATCTGGAAAAGTCTGGTGTTTTAATGACAAAGCATAAGGAACCAGGTAGAAAGCTTGTTGGAATTGGAGTGGGAATGTCAAAGCCATTCATGCTGAACAGACATCAGCCTCCCAGAGTACTTACTCAGTGATATGAGACCTATCCTCAACTGGAGAGATCGAAGTCATTGCTGAAGCCATAACTGCTGTCCAAAAGAAATGCTTTCCTCTCTCATCAAAAGGACCTGGAACTACACTAAAACCAAACCAGACAATAACCTAGGGCCTGAGAAACTGAACTCAAACAAGGAAATACTTAAGAAATGTTCCTAGGCACTATTGTTTTTCTAAATGTACAAAGTGATACAATTTGCATGAGAAAATGAGTTGTAGAAGGAGACAAAGCTTCCTAAAGCAC